GGGAGGTACGCGGCAGTGTGTTCAATTTGTGCCCTGCTACATTAGACTACGACAACTCTGGTCGTCCGCACTCTGCCAAGGCAAGTGCCTTTTGAAGCGGCAGGAACATAGAAGCGACACCTCATGGCTGTTTCACGTATTTTTGCATCGGCTTTGTCTCCAGTTCATCATTAAGGTTCAGCCCCATAAGGGTGCGCCACGCAATGATAAGAATGTGCTTAACAGTCAGTTGGCGCAATGTTGCCAACTTCTCCTCGTTCAAAAACGCATCTGTCACATGGGCGGAGACTCGCAACTGACGTGCTTTCCTCATTGGTGCGCCCACCCTTCTGTGCGGTAAAGAGGGGATGCTAGTACTGAAAAATCGCTGTATATCATCACAAAGCAGAAATCTAGCTTTATTAGATAATCCAAAAATACCGTATCACTAAAACCATAACAAACATAAATACATGAATCAGGACCCGCTTTTTTCAATCAGCGATGGTTATGCAGTGTTCTTCCGCTTCGTCCGCTGCAACATCGTCTTTATTTTCAAACACTGGCTCATTTTCTGCTCGTGACAAATTGTACAGCGCTGCACAACAAACAACTATTCGTGCTATTCTTGCGGACCTAAAATCAGTTGCACCACATTACTACATGGATTACATGGAACCAAGAATATTGTCTATAATTGTACCTTATCGTTTCTTTCAATATAGGAAACTGCCTCTTCCAGTTTGCAATCGCTTCCTGTACGATCACATGTGCAATTCTCAGTGTAGTTGCCATAGCGAAGTCCTTTTCTTAAAATAGATCGGTTCGCTGACTGGCAGGTGGAATTGCATCAGGCACCAAAGCATTGGAAGGGGAGGGAAGAGGACGGGCAAGGAGGGCCACTTCACAGTCGCTAAAGGATCGTATTTCGCCGCAAGCGCCACGACGCCTGGCGATGGGGCGAGGTGTTCTTTCATAAGCTGTTTTAACTCTGATCGACATGGCAAGCCACCAAACTTCATGTAGACCACCCGTCATCGTAGACAGCTGCATTACTGCTTTCGGCTCGCTTATATTGCCGATTTTGCTTGGCCATCTACATACCGTGGAACATCATCCTTTGGCCAGAACTAGACGTCGCACGCGACGCCCCAGGGCAGACGCGACGGAATTACGATCCTCTTGTCACATACCGAGAGAAGAGAAGACGGCAATCAGCGCACTTAGGCAGTCGCGGGTGAAATAGCTGTTGCAAAGCAGCGGTGACTATATGCAGCCCTGCTATGCCTAAGGCTGCGTTCATATTCTACGCAGCGTATCCAGCAAGCGCTCACCAGCCATTAAGCCCAACTAGAACAAGCATGAGTTATCGATCTAGGCGTTCCTGCCAGTGTCACCAGACGTCCACCTAGCGCCTTGCATCAGCGACAGTATAGTTTAGAGAGTATGACGAAGTAGGACTGTAGCAAAAGGCGTATTTGGGCGTCCGTGAAATTGCGGCAAGTGCAACCGCACCGCATAACTACACTATATCGCACATCAAATTGCAGACTTTTGTACTTTAGCAGTTGTACAGTGCGGCTACACACGCCACAATTTCACGACGCCTGATCCAGCTGTTTGATACTCTCCTACTTCCCCATACTATTTACTCCCGGTCGCTGGTGGATGCTGGCAGACGCTGCTGGACGCTGCTGCAAAGCATGCACGCAGTCACTTCCGAGCTGCCACATCAGGCACTAACAGCGCAGAGAGGGTTAGTCGGTTTGAGAGACGTAGAGTCGAGAGCCCCGCACTGCCACTTTGGGTTGATAGGGTCTTAGTGCGAATGCTGCATACGTCATTCGGCCGCATTCGCCGCTATTCGGAAGTGAGACTCTACACCCCCTTAAAACGACTGGAACAAGGAAAAACCTGGGGCCTCACTCCCATGAAAGAGATGCTGCAAACTTTGAGGCAAAATACCGCGAACAAAAATGGTGGGTAGTGGGGCTTAAATATAAACGACAAGGTGGTCATCAGGTCGAGATGTACGCAGTTCCAGGAAAAATTTGGGGCGGTTTCGTCAACGCGAAAGGAAGAGCTTGCCTTTTTCAAATAGCAACTACTATACCTGACATCACGTCCTTTCCTTTGCTTGGTGTCAATAGAAATCTCTCTTTTTTATAGGCATCATCACCGATTAGAATTCCCTTTCTTCTGCCATCTCTCAACTGTCGGCAGAGTAAACTCTGTTTGAAGACCTACAAGAGATTTTCAACATAAAAAGGTAATTAGTACTTCAAATCCAATAGCTCACTGATTCGTCGTCCTCATGCGCGCGGAACTTCGCGAATACCCACCGAAATTGCTTTCTATCATCAGCCACAACTCCAACATTAATTCCTTGGATCCCTTTTCTGAAAATCACAACTGACGTATGTCTGCACCACCTGCATGAGTTCTCATTCTTATGTAGCTGTACTAGTGGAAAACCGTTATATGATTACCTACTGCCCTCACCTGGTTAACAAAAAAGATCCTTTCCCTATCTCTTAGCTCACGCCTACCGAGCACACCCGTATTTAATAGAGCTGGGTCTTCGTAGCTGTCGGGGTCATGCGGTCCCTCAAAGGGCTGGAGCATTATCCTTGAGGTGCCTCCTTCTCTGGAGCTCTATCAGGATGAAGCTTCTTCAATATGGAGTACAAATTAAGACGCTGTTTGGGCCCTGGGAGTGACATTTTGCACTTTCGCTAATCCCTTTTGCTAGTTCACGTTAGCGAACAGGTTTCATTTTGTTGAGACCTGTGAACCCGTCAAGCTGCAAAATGGTACAAGTGAAGTTTCGTAAAACTTCAAAGGTGGACTGTACAGAATTCGTTGCGTACCATTCAGTGCCCCACCCCGCCCCCATCCCTCCGAGCCGAACTGCACCCAAGTCAGTTATCACCAACTAGTGTGCAACGCATAAGTCTTACAAGATAAGGAAAAAACTGCAACTTACATTATTGTCCCATCAATACACACAATACCTCTTAGGCCAGTCATGTCGAAGAACCTGGAAACGCTCTTTGACTATAATATCACATCAGCGATCATTTCGTAGCCACCTCGACGACAGCCGGAGCCGGCGCGAGGGGGGTGGCGCAACCGCAGCTTTCCCTGGCTCTAGCTTGCGCTGAGGAGATTACGGGGCATGAAGAGATAGACGAGACGAGAGATTGGCGAACCCCAAGGTGGAAAAAGCATAGGATCGATCTGACGCTGCTCGAGATTGAAGCGATCGGCAATTCGCGAACATCAGGCTGTCGGCGATAGGGTCAAAGGAGTGGATGAGTATCGATCGGGCCGGTGTCGCTAGCGATGGCAAGATTCGGCGACTCTCGAACACGCTGGATTGTGCAGTCTGTCGAATCGTCCCGGGCGTTCAATCTTCGAATTCTTAGATCCGCCAATTCGCGTAATTCGTTTTAAACAAGACTAACGACCAACGAAGCTATCCATCCAACTGCGTTTGGCGCAATCTCCTTAGTCGGCAAAGCATGAAAGGTCTTATAGATGGATGTGAAATGTAGTAGTATGGATATTCATGGCATATCAAAAGAATGATGTTGACATCACTGTCACTGATCTTCTACGTTCCCGACTCGTCAGGCACTGCATCTACGTTTCCGCCATTCAGCCAATGCTGCCAGAACGTTGTCAAAAATAAGACCAACTTTCGCTGGCGTAAAACCAACTGATGACTGCTTGACTCCAGCCAGAACCTCCAGAGTAGTTGCTACCTTGACTGCAGTTGAACAGGAGATTGAAGGAGTTAATCTCGTATCCATCGTTTCTAGCGTAGAGCAGAGCGTTGCAAATGTTTTACGTGTTATTCGGAAATAATTCCAAAAATCCTCGTCATTAAGCGTATCTACCAACGACGACTGATCTCGAACTTCTACACGGACGATTGTGATTTCCTTTTCTTCAGGGCTCCTGAAACACGACGCTTACTTTCTTCCGGATCTACATATTTTTTCACAGTTTCATATGGTAAACCTAATGACACATTTCGCGATTGCAAGTACTGGCTGGTGGGATTAAAATATGAGTTTGTTAGTGCGGGTTGATTTATCAGTAATGCAGAAAGTAGATGAATTGGTCAAAAGAACCCGTCCGGTTAGCTTTTAATATTGTGCGAGAATGCGAAGAATAGAGACGCAGAGACGTTTAGCCTAGGGAGGAAAGGGTACAACGACAGGAGATAGAGGACGTTTCAAAACAAATATTAAGGATGTTACACCTACACACACACTACGGATGGAGCTAGAATGAAGAAAGCACGGCGAGAGATTAGCCACAACCCCCGCCCCCCAATTCTTACCACGCAATTTTGAGTGACAAATTGGTGCATTATGTGGCTGTGGACCTGTTCATGGCACAAGAGAAAGGGATTCCCCACCCACCAGCCAGGATCGCGGAATGTATCTCTAATCGTATTTATGAATTCTCTAAGACAGCATTCATACTGTTCGTCAGCGTAGTGAGCATTTCGAGCGAAATGGAAAGTATAGCCATCGATCTGGCGTTTTGGGAGAAGTGCCAGCGTTTCGAGTGTTCCGAGGGTCTTGGGTGGGAAGAAGTATAGGTATTGACCTGGCATTTTGAGCGCTTGCTTCGTTAAAAACGCTCAAACGCTAGACCGATACGTATGCATTCCTTTCCGCCCGAAACCTACGAAACATACAAAACGCCGACGAAAAGTATAGATGCAGCCTAGAATAACGGAAAAGTACTTTTTATGCTCTCCTTCTTGTTGTTGAGAGTCCGCTGAAGATGTGGGAATTGAATCTGAAAACTATTTCTGTAAAAAAGCTCTCTACCAAAAGAAATAAAGTGTTTAGATAAAAAATACAGAGAATTTCCGCACACCTTTACTGTCAGTGGAAGAGGTATTGATGACAACTACGGAATCAGCAGGAGAGGGCTCCTCTGAGACAGATGGTTCCAACAAGTCCATTGCAGTTATTTGGCCCGAGTCTTCGTTTATTTCCTGTTTTGGCTTCTTATGAGGAATTCCGTCTTCTAGCACAGCATCGAGAGCGGAGGACAAGGTGTCTGCAAGAATACAGAGGATTCTCTTCACGAGAACAGTATTAAACCTTATAGATCCTTGTATGAAGCCTGAGGGTGTGTTTATAGTACCCAC